AGCAGGAATTATATAATGTTGCTTGGGTTGATGTATGAAAAGGCATTTTGCAATTTCTTTGGCTTTCTTGATGTCTTTTCTAAGTAACCAGAGTATTTCTATTGTTTATATATGATAGTTAAATAGAGATGGGAGAACTGGGCATAATGCTAGATTGTATAAACCCAGTTAGCATTGTGTTTGTGTTTTTAGATTCCCAAGATTAACCATTTTTCCCTTTTAATTTAAGGGGTTTGAGATTTTTTTTGAGAGAGAAATTAAAATTTTATAAAAGTATTCTTAGGTAGACAAAAGCCTGCCTTATGGTTGGAACACGTGACAATGCTGGTAATACTGTTCAGCAGAATGAAAAAGAATGCTTGGTATGAGGTAAAATGGACTATTTTACACATTCTTATTTAGATTTATAAGATAACAGTTCCAAAAGTGCTCCTGTTGGAATCATCTAATAAGCTATGCAATAATAATAATAAAAAACCTGTAACATGTAACGCTAATACCTGAGGGGTAAAATAAACCATATTCCTAATTTCTTTCCCCTAAACATCACACCTAATATTTGTTTTTTCAGTAGTCCCTCATCTCCCCCCACCCCTGCCCCCACACCCCCTGCCTCAAAAGTTAGATTTGGATAATTTTGAACCAAGATTTTTTCCCTCCTTTTTCCCGCCATCCACTTCCTCCTGTTCCCCCTTTCAATCTCTTGTTGGGCAAAAATCTTTCGATCAGTTTTGATCAAACAAAAGCTTTAGAGTTTCAATCCTCACTAGATTCAGAGTGAAGTTAGATGAGTTTATGTAGCCCCATTTTTAAGGATTAATATTGCCTCACACATGTGCAATAGTATTACTCACGGCCACCAAGTTGCAAGCATTCTTTGTCTGATAAAGGCACTTCAGGAGTCATTTTAAGGAAGCTAAAGCAAGGCGATGTATACTGTGGCCAAATCAAGAAACTGTAGAGCAATCCAAGATTTACTGGATTATGTAGTTGACAATACAGTTGGTTAGTGTACATAGAAAAATAATGTGAAATTTTTTTTCTGAATTTTTCGCCTTGAAATTGCACAAGCCTGCAGTTTGAAGGAAAACATTTCCAAAGGCTTTTGCATCTCATAGAGAAGTGGGCTACATTTCCACTTGTGAAGTGCAAAAAGGGTACATAAGTCTATTTCTGTCAACACCTGTTATAAACTGGAGGATTTCCATGAGGTGTCCCCAGTTTCATATTATGGCCAGATCAGACTTCTGAGTTCTCTGCAAGCAGTGTCATTGTCTTGTGATCATGAATGACAACCTGTTAATTGGGTATCCTCCCAGCAAGACTGGGCAGACCATGCAGGTTTAGTTTACTTCCCCTTTCCTTTGCAAGCCCTGTGTGTTTTAACCACCATGCTATTAATATTTTCTCTGCATATTGGGCTTTTTATTCAAGCAAATAGATACCAAAGGAAATAGGGGGGATGACTTAGTATTGAATTTGTCACTTCCTAATGGCATTGCTTGCACCCTCCTCCCTACTCCCTGACCGCCAGCATGTTGTTTGTAGTCTCAATGTGTAAGTGGCATGTAGGTGCTCACGTGCGAGACTCGCATGTTCCATGTTGCTCGAATGTTCCATCATCTGGAATACAAATGCCCTCGTGTCCATCATTTTTTTTTGTAGCAGTGTGTGCGTGTGAGTGTACGTATACACACACATCTATATATACATGCACACACATGCATACATGTGTACATATATCCATGTACCACACACACACACACACACATATATACATATATACACACACAGTGTGTATGTGCGTATACATACATACAAATATATATCTATATACACACATCCATATACATATCTTCCTATATATATGTAGACTCCATCTATATATATGTCCATATATATTTAGATGGATGTGTGTCTACATATATATAGGGAGATATCTATATAGATAGCTATAGATATATATGCAGGGTTCAAATTACACTTTGACTCTTGGGATCTGCAGCAGTGGCAGCCAGGAGCCAGTGCCTGGACTGCTTAGAAAGGTGAGGGGCTGGCCGGGGTCTGACTGGCCTTCAGGGGGTTTCTTGTTTCCTACAGGGGAGCTCAGCCTCCCTGAGCTCCCTATAATTTGAACCCTGTATATATGGATACGTGTGTACATATATGTAGGGATATATTTATAAAAAGGAGGGATGGATATATATATGTATATTGATGTAGATGTCTAGATGCAGGGGTGACTGGTGCCTCCTGAGTCGGGGGGGTGGGGTCGGCCGCGGGGGGGGGGGGGGGGGGGGGGAACGATTTGTGGGTGGACCAAAAGCCCTATATCTACTCCTATACTTCTGTGCTGTGGCTTAGTGTCCCCCCCTCCCCAAACACATTTCCAGCCCATGCACCAAAAATTTGCCTTGTCCTGAGCTGTGCCAGGGTGTGGGCACGTGCCCCCTGTACCAGTTGCCTGTGTCTAGATCTATCTGGATGTCTAGATATGTGTAGCTATGTCTAGACATAGAAGTCTATGTATCTAGATATCTAGAGAATATACACACACGTTATCTAGATATGGATATCCATATGCATGTATACACACTGGTTAGTCTGTGGTGCAAACGCATCTTATACACACACACACACACACACACACACACACACACCATTTGCACCACATAGACTAAGCAGTATGTATCACGCGTGTGTATGAACACACACACACACACACACACGTTTGTACCGCAGACTCAGCAGAGCGCGCGTGTGTGCGCACACGTGCGTGTACATGGCCGTGCGCAGGGCCAACGTGCTGCGGGAGGCGCTCAGGCCGCACTCGGGCGGGGGGAGCGGGGCGATCATTCATTCCCTCGGCCGCGGACAATGCCCGGCGCTGGCGGGGCCGCGGGCGGGCGGGCGCCCGGGCCATATGCAGCACGGCGGGCGGAGCCGGGGGAGGCTGCTGCGCGCTCATTGTCGGCGCTC